CTCGGAGAATCCACAAGCGTCTTGCAATCCAAGCTGTCCCGTGGCGTTGGAGCCCCAAGCGAAGACTTGATTGTGCCCACTCGGAGCTGCTAGGGCCACCGTGTGGTTAGCGCCACTTGCAACTTGAACGCATCCCTCCAGGACCAGCGTTGGTTCTGCACTCTTCTCCAGGACCTCCGTCTCCTGCTTGCGCTTGTGTGCGATGCCGATATATCCGTTGGAATCCTTGTATGTGCCCCATAACCAGAGACGACGCTTCTCATCCAAGGCACAGCTGTGGCAGTCTCCACACGAAACATGGCGAACTGCGACTCCACTTGGCATCGTCACCGGATGTGGCTCCACATCCGACGGGCCACTGTCCGAACCATCCGAAGGAGCTCTGCCCAGGGCTCCATCATCGTTGCAGCCCCAGCTGTACACAGCCCCCCCTGTGGAAACACAGAGAACGTGCATGGCACCGACTGCAATTTCGCAGATGCTTTTCCCGATCAGGGATTTCAAGAGCGTGGGCTTCTTGCGCTCTCGCATATCATCGCCAAGGCCTAGCTGATCACATTCGCCACTTCCATGGACAAAAACATCCCCGACGGGTACCTTTTCGGTCGTAATGAAGTCGGGCATGCATATCACACTCTGCATGCCGTGGCTTCCGACTGACGAAGCTGCAGATTGTTGCGTGGTCAGCGAAACATCGTGGCGCATGGCCTTCGAAGGGCGGAATTTTATGCGTAAGCTGCCCATGAAAGAACCATGCACCTGTGTTCGTGTATATCTTATCAGCTTTATCTCTCTGCACTGATTGCTTGTGGCCGCACGGTTTCACGATATGTCTCCATCGAGCCAACCTTCCGCAGGAAAGAGTTCACGGGATGAGGCAGCAACGCAAGTTTGGCACCTGCCCAACCTTTCCTATGTCACAAAGTATAACAAATGAACTGCGTTGGCAGGCGAGGCTGTGAGGCTAGGGCTGACACCTGGAAGCGTCCAGCGTTCCATGTGTACTTCCGGGGTCAATCCACCACGCATCGCAGTTCGGTTGTATTCCGGCTAAACTCGCTTATATATGCACTGTGCCTGTGACGGCATCATGTTGCACTGACACCGCGAAAATGGCCCACCACTGCCAGCGCCTCGCCCATTCCCCCCGAACGTCTCCGGCGTTGCCGCTGTCACAATGAAGGGGGCGATCGGTGCCTGCGCGGCGACACCAGGGCGCCGGGCGAGGACTGCCGAGTCATGTTTCTTCGCAGACCCCGGTTGGCCTCCCAATTGCCCCTGCGGTGGACACTTGGACGCGTAGCGGGCGGTAGCCCTTATCAGCAAGGAAGAGCCCGCGCCGTTGCAATGATAACGGTTCGTGGGCCGGAAAACTGGGCCTGCACTGGGACCGCCTAGCTTGGGACGGCGGTAAGAAGGTGTTGCGACGTTTGGCCGAGTCATGCGCCCGCGCGTCAGACACCGAATGAGACGGGGGGACTGTTCGCAAGGCGTGGCTGGCGCGGGGCGAGGCTTGGACGAAGTCGGCGTGCCCAAACGGCGTGCCCAGCACGACGTCGGGGCGATGCATGGTCACAACTCAAGCACGCACGACTACACACAGCTTCGACAAAGCAAGTGTTTACACCCGGTCACCTGAGCCAAACCATTGCCGAGGCAAAGTCTGAAAAAAGAATGTCTGATGCAATCACTCTAGAATGAGTTTGTCAGGACATGTGAGGCACATTACGTGAGCAAGTGCTTACACTGCCCACACAACGCCATGCCGAGCATGGCATCAATGGAAAATTAAAATCAAAGTGTGCAGACGTGTGTCGTCATTGTCGGGATTGCAAGACTATGCTAGCACTGAAGACTGTACAGCAGTGTCGAGGTGAGCTGGTGGTGTCGTTGTTTGTTGCCGCTCTGTGACTCCCCCGGCTGCTTCCCCCCAGTGTGGGCTGAGATCCAGACAACATGCTGCGACTTAGCTCCGCCGCTGTACGGTTCTTCCGGGGCTTAGGGGTGAAATTACTTGTGCTGCTGGCCCGCCACCAGCTCTGCCCGAGCTCCTAGCCGACGCTCGCTGGCAGGAGGCTCCTGCGCCCAGCCGCCTGCCTGCCGGTGCATAGGCGTCCCGCCG